AATTGGCCTGAAAACGGCCATTTCAGAGTCTTGTATGCGAAATGACTGGATTATTATTATTGATGCATCACAGCTGGTAAAGCTGATGCCGGATATTAAATGATATGTCAATGTTTATGTATTAGTTGATTTCTATGTTGTATTAGTAGTCTGAATATACAAACGCTGTCAGATAAATGCAGAGGAGTTAAAAGTACAATATTGGCTTTAAAATGTAGTACAGTAAAAATATAAAGTACTTCAAAATAGTTTGTAAGTATAGTCATAGAGGGGGAGTTATTTAAAGAGAGAATATGTTTTCTATATTTCCAGGTAATATGGGAAGACTGTTTCTCATTGTGTTTGTGGTATGAATGATTTCAGGATACTGCACTTCTTGCCCACTCTAAACGTTATACCTATCATGCTATATTTGAACAATATATTGGGCCGTACCTGTATAAAGTATATAAATATATATATTTTTTAAAATACCAAAAAGATCCTGCATTTTAGCCATGCCTCATTTCGCTCTATTTGCTCTTTCCAGCGCTGTTTTTGCAGGGGCTGATTCTGTGAGCTGCAGCTGACCACGCCCCCCTGCAGGAGAGGGGAGCGTGCTCTGAGATCAGCTGCTGGGCTGCAGCGGGGAGAAGAGGGGGAGAAAAATAGATCTCCGTCCTCCGTGTTTTATTCTTATAGAAGTAAGAAGAGAAGTAACGGGGCAGAAACCCTCCTTTTTACGCAGCGGTCCAGACATAGACATCAAACGGCGACACATATTCAGTGTGCAGTTCCTTTGGCATTAGCGCAGGGATATCTAGATACTTTCCATGGTTTGACATCATGAATGAATTGTGCTACTTTTAAAGCAAGCAACGATGTTTTCAAATTTGTAATTAAAAAGCTCCTCAAAAACGCTATGGAAGCAGTTCCTGCTGTTGCTACGTTAGTTCAAACGGTAACAACGGACTATTTTTCTTAGCGGATGCATGTCAATTTAAATCAATACAACTCTTTTTTAAATCAATAAAATCATTTTCTAAATCCATAAAAGCATTTCAATTCATATTGGGAGTCATGTCGTTACTTTGTCGAGAATGTGACCATGTAATAAGCGGGATAATGTGCACATTGCATAATGTGCCTTCATGCCGATCTACATCCCTCCGCTTCGCGTCGGGCTCCTGATCGGCCTGTCGCTGTTCTTTTCCCCATAGTGACCGCGTCGCTGCACATTATCCCTTACGATTATATAGAGTCATTATTCATTTGTTTTAAAGCAGGAGGCGCAAAAGCTTGCCTCGGGGAGGGAGAAAAGAGCCACAGCGGAGAATAAACAAAAGGGCAACCATGGCAACCATGCAAGGGAAGTCTTCTTCGCTGCTTTTGTGGCAGACTACAGCCGTAATGGCCGGCCGTGGCCCAACCTCTCATTCCCCTGATAGGTGGAGAATTGACCAATAGCCGTAGCGCCACTTTACTGACGTCAGTAAAGTGTTCAAATCTGGATCAGTCTGTATCAGATCCGTTGCAGCCCCTTTTTTAGAAATGTGGGTATAGAGGAAAAGAGAGAGGGTTGTGTTTTCTGACACTTGGTGAGTTCCCTGGAACACCGGGGACACACATTCATGTATAAAAGACGTACAAAAGTGCATTTTGCACGATAGGTCCCCTTTAAGGATGACCCCCTGAGATGAACGGTTCAAGGTTCTTTATTAGTCATACAACCATAGCTACAAAGTAGTTATGGCGATGAAAATCTTAGGTCACAGTTTTCCAACAGTGCAACACAATATTACAGAAAAACAGAAAAATATAGTGCAAGTAAATATTAAAAGTAAATGCAAAAAGAAAGGAATATTTAAAAAAAAAAGAGAAATAAGAGTCTATATGCAAGCTATTGGAATGATATATTAGGTAAATAGATACATGATTACTAAGTAGCAGAATGTTATGGATGTTGTTTCAGCAGTTCAGGTGTTTAACAGTCTTATCGCCTGTGGGATGAAGCTGTCTCTGAATCTGTTTGTTCTTGTCAGAATGCTGCCGGTAACGCCTGCCAGGCGGCAGCAGACAGAACAGTTTGTGGCTGGGGTGATGGGGGTCTTTGATAATCCGTAGGGCCTTCTTCCTGAGCCGCTGGGAGTAAAGGTCCTCCATGGATGGCAGCTCCGTCCTGCGGTGATGTTCTGTAGTCGTACAGCCATGGTGTTAAAGTGCGGGGAATTATATTAACCTTAATAATAAAGGAACAGCAGTGACAGGCACACCTGAACCACAGAACTGCACCATAGAATATAAATAACTTATTAACCCATTACTCACAACAGGCAGACAGGTGGTGAGCTACTGCCACCTGCTGACCAAACATGGAGCTACAACAAGCAGCAGAGTACTTCTCAAGAACTGCTTTTAAGTTTATTTATTATGTTATGTCTTAAGCTTATTGAATGTTGCATTGTAGGAGGATTGTATTACCAATACTCAGAGATGGAATAAGTACTCAGATCTTGTATTTGAGTAAAAGTAGAAGTATTCAGATCTTGTACTTGAGTAAAAGTAGAAGTGAGTAAAAGTAGAAGTACTCAGATCTTGTACTTGAGTAAAAGTAGAAGTACTCAGATCTTGTACTTGATTAAAAGTAGAAGTACTCAGATCTTGTACTTGAATAAAAGTAGAAGTACTCAGATCTTGAACTTGAATAAAAGTAGAAGTACTCAGATCTTGTACTTGAGTAAAAGTAGAAGTACTCTGATCTTGTTCTTGAGTAAAATTAGAAATACCAGAGTAGGAATACTCTGTTAAAGTAAAAGTCCTGCATTCAAAATGTTCATCAAGTAAAAGTAGAAAAGTATTATCATCAAAATATAGTTAAAGTAGCGAGAGTAAAAGTAGTCATTGTGAAGTACAAGTACCTCAAAATATTACTTAAGAATAGTACTTGAGTCAATGTACTTAGTTACTATACACCACTGCCAGTACTACACTGTAGCTAATGTGCATATGCAAATAAAGCCCTTGAATCTTCAATAAAGTTAGTGGATAACTTCTATAGCTACTTGAAGATCCAGATTTAGACACAAATAAAAATAACAAATGATTCGTCATGAGATGAATGCATTAATGCATCAATAAAAAACATCCAACAATATGTTATTCTGAAAAGGGGCAGTTGTGGAGATAAAGTACTTTCACTGTTGGTGTTTCAAGTATATTTTGAGTCTAACAAATGTACTTCCCTCCAGTGTGTATTTATCATATACACCTCCATCCAATCGAGCCCAAAACATACATTTGATGTCGCCTATACATGCATACCATACACTAAGAGGAAACCAGACGCAGGGCCGCCCCTCCCTACAGGCCAATCACGCAGGCTGCATGGGGCCCCGCCCAGAGGGCCTCAGCTGCTGTGCGCAGTTCTCCGCTCAGTTCCCCCGCTGACACGCGAGAGCGAGAGTGAGAGTGAGAAGTGAAAAGGGGAGTACGTCTGTAACCCGACACCGTTGCAATGAATCGACATCTGACCAATCACGGCTTTGATACGGCCACTAGTGCAGGTGAAGAGATGTCGGGGAAAAGACAGTTTCAGTCCGGCGCAAGCAAGAGGGGAAAAAAACAAAACATGAAGAAACTAGAGCATCACTCGAAGGTGGGTTATTGCATGAGTCAAATGTACAACTTGCGAATGTTGTATAAGTCAAATTGCCATATTAAAACATCAGCTGCAATTCACGACATGAAGAAGGCAGTCTCTGCAGAGCATACAGGCTAATGGAGATGCAGTTATTTCCAGCATTCTTTATTTAACATTCATTCAAGTATGTTATGCCTTTTATCTGCTAATGTACAGGAGGAAGAGTGATACACTGTCTGTCTAGTTGGCTTACATAACAGTTAAAGTTTGCAGCCTAAAAAACATGGAGAATTTGTTCCCCTTTTATGTCAATTTGCACATTTCATGGTGATGCTCAGCCTCTCCCCTTAAGGCAAGGCAAGGCAAGTTTATATATATATATATAGCACCTTTCAACACAAGGCAATTCAAGGTGCTTTACAAAAATGAAAGACATTCAGACAAAGGCATTTAAAAACAGTAAAAGATAATAAAAGAAACATTAAAAGAAAAAATACATGAATAAAAAGTAAACTTTTACTCCTAACAGTCATCATCATGTCAACCACAACACAGAGACATACTGATAGAAATGTGTGTGTATTTGTTGATACATTGCTGACAGAGGGAACTACGTTTGAATACAGATTTAAGTTTTTGAGCATGTCATAAGCATGTTTTGTCTTGACTATACTACAACTATATTATAATAAAATAATATAGTATTTATATTATTGAATTGATTATGATTATTATTATTATTATTAGTTGTTTATTTGCATTCATTATATTTTAATCTTTTTGAGGCTAGTATTTGGCAGGAAATGCAGACGTATTCACCTGTAAACGCATACTGAACGACATACATGCACATTTACCATTTACCTCACTGTATACAAAAGTAACTGTGTTGATAATAATAATAATAAACAGGAATTATATTTGCAAAGTAGCCTACTTTGTTTCCAAAAACAACTGTCGGTTGGGGGGGGGGGGGGGGGCGCCTCATCTCACAATGTCGCTTGGGGCCCCAAGTTGGCCAGGGGCGGCCCTGACTAGACGTGATCATTAATCTATCTACCTATCTAGAAGATCAGTACCATAATGTCACATGGCTACTTTATTATTTATTCATTATATACTTCCTTTTTGCATTTAACTGGCACCACTCTATGTCTTCAATGCATGTTGTATTGTTGGAACAGCCATACTACCCTGTGGCTTTGGTGCAAACGACAATAGAGCATTTAATAATTATTGATTCTAATAATATATCTGCTGCTTAACATACATGCTGCAGACTTGGCACAGGAGCCATTATGCAGAGTGGCCTAACCTCAAATTATGCGGAAAAGCAAGTTAGAACAACCTCTGCTTTTCACTTCCTAGTGTAGGGTTTCATTCCCGTCCACACACTCCTCCAGACACACAAACACACACATACACGTACACGGGTTTCTTGCGGTGATTTGGCTGCAGAGAGCTGGGCAGGATTTGCCAGTCCGGGGGTCAGCACCGGGTTTAGTGGGGCACATTGAAAGAGGAACGCGGATGGATACTTCCGTGAAGAATTGGTCAAAATACCTTGATTTGGTTTGATTTTGAGTGCGCATACCTGTGCGGACTTGCCTGTCAGAGGGGGAGTCGAGGCTGAGGAGACACACCTTTACCTGCCTGCCCCCCACTCCACCTCCACCTCCCCCTGTTTCTGCCCTCTAACTGCACGCGGAGGTATCTGGAAATGTCGGCAAATGAGAGAGCAACGCGCGCGCTGCGGGAGATCCTGCAGAACGCCGGGAATGAAACGTGCGCAGACTGCGGAGCACCGGGTAAGAGACAGAAAACACACCTGAATCAGCTGAGAAAGTGTTCAAAACAGCTTCATGTAACTGGGTATGAGCTGCTTCAATGTTACGTTCAGGAGCTGTGGAGCGTTTACCAGAGCCAACAGGGTGAAACCAATCATTAAAAAACATCATAAAAGCGCCATTTCTTATTTTATTCAACCATGAAAAGCTTTAAGTTGTGGTTTTTAACATAACACTCAATATGCAAGACTCTCCTTTTGGTGTATTTTGTTGTTTTCAACTTAAATGTGTGGGAAGGTGTGTTCTCCAGGAGCACCTGAAGGCAACACAGAGAAGTGAAGTTTTGAACAAGCCTGCACATGCTCTGAAAAGTTTTGTAAACTCCCTCACCCAACTTGTTTAGCCCAACTATGGAGGTCTTCTGTTTCTATCATCTAGATTACAATGTAGGTAGGTATTAAGGCAGGACATAATTTTAAAAAAAGAATAAGAAATCACAACATGTTTGAACAAATGCCTTGACGATAGTGCAGGGTTGACCGTTGATGCTTTCACAATATATTGCCACATTGAAAGTTTTGATTAAAAAAAACATCTGTATTGTAGATATAGAGACTGAGAGGGAGATGATCATTTGTAGAACAGCTAGATAATTCAATTACATACAGAAAAGTACGTCTATTTACTGTAATAAAGCCTTTTAAACCGAAACAAAACAACACTTACGATAAGCTTTTACGATATCTAAGATCTAAGAAGATATCTTGGTTAATTATTAAGAGTGTAAGAGGAACAGACGTCAAGCTTTACCTTGCACTTTAAAGAGTCCTCTCCTGCTGATGTTCAGGTGTATATCAGTATGTGGTGTCTACTTTAAAGAGTCCTCTCCTGCTGATGTTCAGGTGTATATCAGTATGTAGTATCTCTACTTTAAAGAGTCCTCTCCTGCTGATGTTCAGGTGTATATCAGTATGTAGTGTCTCTACTTTAAAGAGTCCTCTCCTGCTGATGTTCAGGTGTATATCAGTATGTAGTGTCTCTACTTTAAAGAGTCCTCTCCTGCTGATGTTCAGGTGTATATCAGTATGTAGTGTCTCTACTTTAAAGAGTCCTCTCCTGCTGATGTTCAGGTGTATATCATCATGTAGTGGCTCTACTTTAAAGAGTCCTCTCCTGCCGATGTTCAGGTGTATATCAGTATGTAGTGTCTCTGCTTTAAAGAGTCCTCTCCTGCTGATGTTCAGGTGTATATCAGCATATAGTGTCTCTACTTTAAAGAGTCCTCTCCTGCTGATGTTCAGGTGTATATCATCATGTAGTGTCTCTACTTTAAAGAGTCCTCTCCTGCCGATGTTCAGGTGTATATCAGTATGTAGTGTATCTGCTTTAAAGAGTCCTCTCCTGCTGATGTTCAGGTGTATATCAGTATGTGGTGTCTCTACTTTAAAGAGTCCTCTCCTGCTGATGTTCAGGTGTATATCAGTATGTAGTGTCTCTACTTTAAATAGTCCTCTCCTGCTGATGTTCAGGTGTATATCAGTATGTAGTGTCTCTACTTTAAAGAGTCCTCTCCTGCTGATGTTCAGGTGTATATCAGTATGTAGTGTATCTACTTTAAAGAGTCCTCTCCTGCTGATGTTCAGGTGTATATCAGTATGTAGTGTCTCTACTTTAAAGAGTCCTCTCCTGCTGATGTTCAGGTGTATATCAGCATATAGTGTCTCTACTTTAAAGAGTCCTCTCCTGCTGATGTTCAGGTGTATATCATCATGTAGTGTCTCTACTTTAAAGAGTCCTCTCCTGCCGATGTTCAGGTGTATATCAGTATGTAGTGTCTCTGCTTTAAAGAGTCCTCTCCTGCTGATGTTCAGGTGTATATCAGTATGTAGTGTCTCTACTTTAAAGAGTCCTCTCCTGCTGATGTTCAGGTGTATATCAGTATGTAGTGTCTCTACTTTAAAGAGTCCTCTCCTGCTGATGTTCAGGTGTATATCAGTATGTAGTGTCTCTACTTTAAAGAGTCCTCTCCTGCTGATTTTCAGGTGTATATCAGTATGTAGTGTCTCTACTTTAAAGAGTCCTCTCCTGCTGATGTTCAGGTGTATATCAGTATGTCGTGTCTCTACTTTTAAAGAGTCCTCTCCTGCTGATGTTCAGGTGTATATCAGTATGTAGTATCTCTACTTTAAAGAGTCCTCTCCTGCTGATGTTCAGGTGTATATCAGTATGTAGTGTCTCTACTTTAAAGAGTCCTCTCCTGCTGATGTGCCGGTGTATATCACGATGTAGTGTCTCTACTTTAAAGAGTCCTCTCCTGCTGATGTTCAGGTGTATATCAGTATGTGGTGTCTCTACTTTAAAGAGTCCTCTCCTGCTGATGTTCAGGTGTATATCAGTATGTAGTGTCTCTACTTTAAAGAGTTATCTCCTGCTGATGTTCAGGTGTATATCAGTATGTAGTGTCTCTACTTTAAAGAGTCCTCTCCTGATGATGTTCAGGTGTATATCAGTATGTAGCGTCTCTACTTTAAAGAGTCCTCTCCTGCTGATGTGCAGGTGTATATCAGTATGTAGTGTCTCTACTTTAAAGAGTCCTCTCCTGCTGATGTTCAGGTGTATATCAGTATGTAGTGTCTCTACTTTAAAGAGTCCTCTCCTGCTGATGTTCAGATGTATATCAGTATATCATACTGCCTGTGCTGCAGCACCTCTTTTCACCCTCTGTCTGAAACCAGAGCCCAGTCTGCTCTGATTGGTTAGCTGGTCGACTCTGTTGTGATTGGTCAACTGCTTAGTGTTGTCCCGCCCAGGGCCGCCCCTGGCCAACTTGGGGCCCCAAGCGACATTGTGAGATGAGGCCCCCAACCGACAGGAGTGAAGCATTTAATTTTATAAATACTATATTATTTTATTATTGTAATATAGTCAGGACAAAACATGCCTATGACATGCTCAAAAAACTGATATTTCTTAAATCTGTATTCAAATGTAGTTCCCTCTGTCAGCAATGTATCAACAACTACACACACATTTCTATCAGTACTTCTCTGTGTTGTGGTTGACATGATGATGATGACTGTTAGGAGTTAAGGGGAGAGGCTGAGCATCACCATCAAATGTGCAAATTGACATAAAAATGAATAAAAGGGAAACAAATGCTGCATGTTTTTTAGGCTGTAAACTTCAACTGTTATGTAAGCCAACTAGACAGACAGTCAGGGCCAAATGCAGACTCACTATGACTCGTGAAAGTCAGAAATGACCACCAAAACAGAAAGATATGGACACAAGATGTGTGCAACTGTATTTAGTTTCCTATCCATTTGAACATGATTTAAGTGTGGGGGGGGGGGGAACTCACCTCCTCTAGGGGAGTCCGGGGGAATGCACCCCCGGGAGGACTTTTGTTTTTAAATGTTGAAGTTAAAAGCATCAATCTGATGCACTTTGAGAGCAACATTAGGAGATCTATGGATACATCTCTCAACACGATATGAAACAGAACTGTAAGCAGATTTTCTTTTTCTTTATGGATATTTTACAAATCACTCCCCTTTCAAACTGTATTCTTTTTTATTAATAACAACTTTTTTGTACTGTCATATAGTATTTTATACCTGTTTTTCACCTATTCTCTCGTTTTTTTATAACTATAATGATCATATAAAGGTGTGCCTTTACCTCACTGAGCTGAGGTTATCAGAGCCTCTCAGTCTTTCAGGAGAGAGCTCTCTAAAGCTTTCCCACCCGCGGCCGCTTACACAGTAAATTCCAATGTTAATAAAAGCACACAGAAGCTGTGTATGTTTTTTGGGAGTTTGATTTATTTTAAATGAACACAAATACAAAATTAAAACCTATAATTGCAAACTAAAACCATTATTTCAAAAAAAGAACAATTTTACACAAACCTCTGGTTTTTACTGGGGCTGGGGCAGTTAAATTTGAAGTTGGGGGGGGGGGGGGGGGGGTGTGCCCTAGTTTATGGGCGCTGTACGCAATATAGGCGTAGTTCTGTTAGTATAAGATAATAAGATTTACTTTGTTGATCCAAAATCGGGAAATTGTGTTGTTATGAAATAAAAAAATTAAAAAAATGTTTCTCCCCAATTTTCGGCGCCCCCTATGGGTTGATGCGCCCTTCGCATTCGCCTATACTGCCTATGCCGAGGGCCGGCCCTGCAGACAGTGTATCACTCTTCCTCCTGTACATTAGCAGATAAAAGGCATAACATACTTGAATAAATGGTAAATAAAGAATGCTGGAAATAACTGCATCTCCATTAGCCTGTATGCTCTGCAGAGACTGCCTTCTTCATGTCCTGAATTGCAGCTGATGTTTTAATGGCAATTGGCAATTTGACTTGTACATTCGCAAGTTGTACATTTGACTCATGCAATAACCCACCTTCGAGTGATGCTCTAGTTTCTTCATGTTTTGTTTTTTTCCCCTCTTGCTTGCGCCGGACTGAAACTGTCTTTTCACCGACATCTCTTCACCTGCACTAGTGGCCGTATGAAAGCCGTGATTGGTCATCTGTCGATTCATTGTAACGGTGTCGGGTTACAGACATGCTCCCCTTGTCACCTCTCACTCTCGCGTGTTAGCGGGTGCGCGGAGAACTGCGCACAGCAGCTGAGGCCCTCTGGGCGGGGCCCCCTGCGCAAGGTGGGACCCCATGCAGCCTGCGTGATTGGCCTGTAGGGACGGGCGGCCCTGGTCCCGCCCCTTAGCCTATCACGTACAATGTGTAGGAGCATTAGCCAATAGGAGCGAGAGTGCTCTACAGTGATGTCACTATGTTCCGGAAGTAAACAAAGGAATCCAATGGAGGCGTTTCCTCTGGAGAGAACACAGGGATTTTAGCCTTCGAAGACCATTTGCATGCTCTGAAACACTCAACAGCAAAGGGAAACCCCCAAAAGCATGACAGGGCCCCTTTTTTAATATTTATTTTCCAATGTGATGTGAATATTTTACAGTTCATTTAGAGATTTCCAATGTATATAACATGCAAGTA